GGGGGGAAGGGAGAAAAGAAACAAAAATTGGGGGAGAAAACAGAAATGGAAATGGAAAAGAGAGGGAGGGGAGAGGAATATAAAGGGAGGAAGGAATAAAGGAAAGTAGCGGACACATACAAATTTGGAAGCCCAATGGACGAGATATTGACCCTTTGCCGGATCCCAAATCGCCTCAGGTGCCCATACCATGCCGGCCGTATTGTCTTCTACGATCACAAGTCTCTCATTGACCCAGTTGATGAGATCGGTGCTTTCCCAGACAAAGATTCCCTTGGAGCCTGTTCGTTGTGCTGCGTCCCATGTTGTCTGTTTCCCCGTCAATAAACCTAGTCCTGGCCATGACCTCGGTCCTCCACCTGCTGCAGTCTAACGCACCTTTCCAATGTTCAAATCCGTCCCAATGATATACCACTTCTTCCCTGCCTCGCTACCTCCACCCGGAACGATAGTCGGATCCCGAACACCTCCTGTCCCCTTGGTCGGCTTGAAGATTGGCGAGCCTTTGTTTAAAGCCTTGAAAGATATGGGATTGTTGCCGTTGCTGAGGTAGAAGTAGACGTATGGATCGGCGCCGAGAAAGAAGACCCCCAAGTATCCGGCGAGCGATGGGTCGGCGCGCTGGGCTATCTGGTTATTGTCAAGACCCAAAGATGCGGTGTCGATGACGAGGGCGCAACAGGCCCATGCCCAGGTAGAGACGAGAAGAGTGAGACTGGGGAGCCTCATAATTTGACGCGCAGGACGCGCTCGAGGGATAAGGTCGGGAAGAAGGGATATCGAAGGGGCTCAGGAGGTCTAGATGCGGCACCAGGAACATCTGGGACTTGAAAGACATTTATATCCCAAGAAGCTCTTCTACCTTTTCCATAGAACCATCTGTATGCCACTCCCCTCCCATGTGAAAACAGCCTCTCGATATTGACGTCCACTACTTGTAAAGTGTGGCTCCACGAACTCCACATGGGACCCTAAAATATCAAGCATTAGGGTAGCGAGGCCCGGGGGTTAGGTGACATTTAGGCAAACGAGAAGGGCCGATACAGTTTGTAAATGGCTAAATCATGCTCGCCATGCTCCAAATTGATCGGAGGACGTTGCAGTTCAAGGTCGATCTCCAAATTTTCTGGTGTGAATCTTTCAGATTCGATTGCTGGAAACAAGATTCTCCATGCTGGGCGGCCAAGTACCAAACGGTGTTCGTGGCTACTACAACGCTAGAAAAGGGGGTCCCGGAGCCGAGACATGCAAGAGAGAGTGTCGTTGAAGGTTTGAGAATAAGCGCTCCAATCATGTTTCGCCTAGTTCGACCTCCTTGTTTGTGTGGTGGTCTCTGGTGGATATAAGACCGATATCGTGGCCGGCGTTATTCATAGCGTTGTCAAGCATCAGGTAGAAGGCATGAGTGCGCATGTCAAAGGAAGCCTCAGACTGGACCGAAATCTGGGAGAAGCTGCCCTCCAAGTTCAGATTGGGAGCAATGGTTGTGCCATCCCAGCTGTCAACGACCTGTGGGGCTGGCGATGAAGGGGTATGGCGTGAGCTTGCCGGATGGCTAGCGGTGGACTGGCTATCATCACTGATTAGGATAGGTTGTTCTCTCATTCCAAACATCTCTTCCATCAGTTTGTCGTGTCGAAATGAATTACCGGAACAGTGCTTTCCGAACAAGTGTTCAATGGTAATACCTAACAAAAACCAAGCATCAGTAAATGGTGATGACCATTGGAGATAGGGATTGTCATACCTTGTTCAAGCCACTCGCGCGGATTCACAGTGTTGGGCCATACGTCTTTTGGTTTGAAAACGTCAACCAGATGACAAAGCTCAGCATACGACGAGTGGCGCGAATAGGGAAAGGTAATGAGGCTAGGCAAACTTCCTTCAGCTGCGTTGTGAGCAGCCAGCATGGACCTCTCCAAAGCTATCTGGGACTTGGACTTGTTGATCAGGTCTTGCAGAAAATTGAGAAGTGCAGTTTTGTTATCCGCGCCGGATGTGAGTAATTCCAAGCCTATCTCGATTTTTGAACCGCTCGCAAAAGACTCTAGAGGTAGAAGTTCGACTTTCTCGGCCGACTTTTCAAGCCAGCGGATACTGTCAGAGTTAGTATGAGAACAATTTCAGGATAGTGGAGGCAAGTCTTACAACTTCGTAACCATCTGAATTTGTACCTCGGACAAGTGTTCTTGCTCCTCGTCGTGCTCAAGATCATCGCCTCCTCCACCAATGCCAAGTTCTGGAAGGTCTTCACCGTTGCGAAGGTGGGTGAGGACGGGATGTATCTGGACTATTGGGTTTTCTCGGACTGTCTTGCAGTAGTTGCCCTTCTCACAGCTGTGGAGACGAACATTTTCATCCAATGTCAGACAGCCCGGGTGATACGAGTTGCCACGCATAAATCCCACGAGTGCCGGAGCCTCGGGAGACAAGTGATGCAAGACACCGAAGCCGCGCTTGTTCCCTGAATCCTTGGCAAGAAGGGACTGGTAGATGCCCATCTTGTATTCGTCAACGTGGACCTATCAAGGTTAGTTGACAAACACGGCATGGTAAAGGCGTGGCTCATAGCTTGCTCTTGACTCCAGTGCTTTGGACAGGGCAACCCACACATCTTCGTACCCATATGTCCAAGCCTGAAAGTGGAAGATCGTATTGGGAGGATACCTGGAGATTTTGTCCAGCAGCTCGCTGATGCCCTGAGCTTTGGTGGGAAACTCGATATCCTCAATAAAAGATGTATCGAGGTAGATGGTATCGAGTGTCTTCAAGCCGTATGCATACTGAACCATAGAGGGTGACCTTGCAATGGCGTTGACATGCCATGGCTCGCTTCGAATATCCCCGGTATAGAGGGCAGCCTTCCCTTGTCCCTCGAACAGAAACATGACAGCGCCAGGGCAATGATTGGCGTCCAGCAGTGTGACTTGAATATGGTTCCCTGGCTCAAGTTCGAGTTCGACCGGGGTGTCAAGAGGGAGTGGTTTCAACAGGTTCCGGAGGTGCTTGTAGGACAATTGTCGAGCCTCCAGGATGCCTTGGGCATAGTTGATGCGACAAGCTACGGTCTCTAGGCGGAGCAGTATCTCCCTGGTGGCGGCAGAGCAATAAACGCTATGAACGGTTAGATATAGCCAGTCGTCAGGAGGGCAAACTTTCCACTGACAATGGTGATCGCAAGGTGTCGAGACCAGCGAGGTGATCGGTATGAACATGGCTCAAGAAACAGGCCAATGGAGGCTTGAGGTTTGCGTGGTTGCGGAAGAAGTCGACTTGATCAATGGCAGTGGTTAGCCTTGGAATCCAAACAAGAGGGATGGGTTGGAGGCCATGTGCTCACCCCTAATGTCGGGAAACTCGGCCAACAAGCCGTTGAAGGTAGACATGTCCAAGTACTCGCATTGTCTTTGTTGATAGTAGTGTCACGTCGAGGCATTTGGCCCTGTCACCATATTACTAGAATGGCGATACATTGCGATCAGACGGAAGGCGCCCTTCACATGAGCAAGGCTACCTACCCTTCCGTGTGGAAGAAGGGATGAGGCGCGAGGCTCGTCATAGGGCTGAAGAAAACAAAGGAAGACCAAAACCCCACCAGTTCGATCGCCTAAAGGAGCGGGCCGGGTTGGGGTTTGTAACTGCTTACAGACGACCATGCCCCTGAAGTGCCCCGCAACGCCCAGGTCCAGATCCCCTGAAGGGAAACAGTGACGTGCCTTGTACACTACGCTTTGACACAAATCGAGAAACACGAATCCGCGTCGACCTTGATCCTCGTCGACTTCCTGTTTCTGCCGTGTTTCATCGAGGAGTAGAGTATCCCCGAGCCAGGAATAAGCAAACATGGCGCCGACGACAACAAAAACCATCTCCCACGATCATAAAATATCCTTCCAAATGTCAACCGGAATGTTGCAAGTACGATAGACAGACACAATGGCAATCACCAGTCTGAGCTCCTCCCTGCTCGAGTCGCTGCTGGCCAGCTTGACTCTGGGTCGCGTCACGGCGCTTGTTTTTCTTCTTACAATTGTGAGTTTCGCCATCGACTCGACGAGGAAGCCAACATATCCCAAATCGTTACCCCGAGTTGGCTTCACTGGAGGAATCGGCGCGACTGTTCGCAACTGGATGAACCTTGGCAACTACCACAACTGGGTGGAAGAAGGCTACAACAAGTATGGCAAACACGGCCGCTCTTTCGTCACTCCTTCTTCGCCCAGCCAGCCGGACGAGATTGTCGTTCCTCGGGAACAGGTAGCATGGATGCTCGAACAGCCCGAGACGGTCGCCAGCACCCAAGAATCCCACAAAGACGTCCTCTTCGGCACCTACAACTTCTTCAATGTCGACGACCACTTCCCGACCAAGGTGATGCACAAGCACCTGGCCCGCAACCTGGTCACTCTCCTTCCCGACATCCAACAAGAAGTCGCCGAGTGCATCGACATTGCCTTTGGCACCGACACCGAGAACTGGACTACCCTCAACCTCTGGGAGGCCCTTCTCGCCATTGTCCCCCGCGTCATGAACCGCCTAGCCGTCGGCCTGCCTCTCTGCCGCAACCAAGCCTTCCTCTCGAGCCAAGTCGGATTCGCCGACGACGTCTTCCGCAACTGTCTCATCCTGACGCTCTTCCCGACGGTCCTGCACCCGCTCGTCGGCCGTCTCGTCACCCTGCCCAACTGGTACCACTTCCACCAAGGCTATCGCCTGCTCAAGCCCGTCATCGAGCAGCGCCTCCGCGACTACGAGCGCTTCGAATCCGGCGAATCGCAAACCCCACCCGAAGAATCCCTCATCACCTGGCTCATCCGCCAAGCCAAAGCCGACAACCTGCCGCACGAGCAGACGCCCTACATGATCGCCATGCGTCTCCTGCCCATCGAGTTCGCAGCCATCCATACCACCGTCATCACTCTGCACGCTTTGTTTCTCGACCTGCTGGCCTCCGACCCTTCCAAGGACTACCTGTCCATCTTGCGGGAGGAAACCACCGCCGTTTTGCAGTCTGAACCCAATGGCATTTGGACCAAAAACGGTCTTGCCCGGCTATACCGCACCGACTCAGCCATCCGCGAAAGCATGCGTCTGTCGACCTTCAGCACGGGTCTCACTCACCGTAAAGTTGTAGCCAAGGAGGGAATCACCAACCCATTTGAGGGGTGGCATGCCCCCTACGGAGCCATTCTGATGGCGAACATGAGCGTGCAGCATGACGCAGACATTTACGAGGATCCAAAGACGTACGACGCGCTGAGGTTCTCGAGGGTAAGGGAGGAGTACGAGGCTCGCTCGCAGGAGGAGGTGGAGAAGGGGAAGGATAATACAGAGGAGGCCTTGAGGATCAAGAGGTTGGGGGTGGTGACGACCAGTAGTGAATTTTTGCCTTTTAGTCATGGGAGGCATGCTTGGTTAGTACTTTCTTCTTCATATCGATGTATGTGCAAGTACGTCCATCGCTAACTTAACCTAATCTTAACAGCCCCGGCCGTTTCTTCGTAGCCCACGAAGTCAAGATGATGCTGGCCCACATCCTCCAAAACTACGATATCAAGCCTATTGCCGAGCGACCGCGACCGACGTGGGTGGCGCATACCATTATCCCGGCGTTGGATGTGAAGATTGAGGTTAAGCGACGACAGCGGAAGAATTAAGTCAATGTCTTTTCAAATCATGGTGTATGAATGCATGATCAGTTCTCTTTGATGTAGTTGGATATACATAGATGACGGATAATACGCATAGAGTCGATAATCTCCATGTTTATATTTCTCATGAACTCGTCAATTTCTCCATTGCTTTTACTCAGGTTCTTTCCAACAAGAATCCGACGTTTCCGGGCTTGTCAAGGCAACGCATGAAAAGACCAAGGTACCGCAGTTTGCTATCTGATAGGTTGATGTCGACTTGTGTAAGTCTTTTCGTATGTCGAGTCAAGCAGTTGCTGACAGTCGTGAATCATGAAACTGGCTTCGGCGGCATCGCATCGGGCATTGTGGACAACTGTCACTCAACCTACTTATGCACACCTCATCTCCGATTTCTTCATCCGCCTTTTTAATCGAACTACTAACTTAACGTACATGGTACACAGATTGTACACTGCTGCCCCCTCTTCGCGAGCACGCCTTGAATACCAAATCAGATGCTTGTTGGTAACCCCCTTGAATCGTCCGTTACCCGTAAATCATCATCACTCTTACTATTCCGATGATCACTACTCACCAAACCGCCTCTTTCTCTGCCACGCCCCGCCGCCACAGGCGCTCTTCTTCTTGTTTTCCAGACAAGTTTGAATTTGGTAAATTTTAGTTATTTAGGCCTCCATTGTTTGAGGCTCGATTGATGACTGTAAACAGACCGCTTCGTACCTTTTGCTTGAACGGCCCTTAAAAAGAACTGGAGAAAGCTAACGCGCAGGAAACCTATCGTGGTATTCCTCTCCACGCTTGTTGGTGCGCTGGTTGGTCCAGTTACTGTTGTTGTTGTGCGGCTTCTTTTTGTTTTTCCACCACGAGGCGGGGTTAAAGCCCGACGCTGAATCGCTTTCGCGGCGTGCGTGTTGTGGCTGTTGACGACTTCCCGAGGGGAATGCTGTCTTGTTTGATTCCCACTCGGCATAGGATTCCATCTCTCTCAGCAATGCTCGGCCGCAATCCTCCTCAACTTCCTGGCCATCTTTGGCAATCAGGACAGAGAGATTCTCATTGAGCGGGTTTTTGAGGTATCCGATGCGAGAGAAGGGAACGGCAACTTTGCTAAGCCATCTGAGACGGAAGGGAGGGGAGGTCTGCCAATGGATATTCTTCATCCAAGATGCTTTGTTGATGTCGGCCGAAGGTAAACTGGTCATCAGTGCCTAAAAGATACATGTCAGACGTTGCTCCACGGTTGATAATGAAAGGCAGGAAGAGGCAGCAAACACCATGACTGGCACAGAACTTACATAACCCTGAAAAGCCTTGCTCTTGTTCACAGAGAAGAAGAAGATGACATTTTTGCACGTCTCGTAGGCCTTGGTGAACTTTTCTTCGTTGGACGTTTGGGTGACCCAGATTGCCTGCAAGAATGCGTAAACCACGGAAACACTAATGCAGATCCAGGACAGAGGAGTTGCAAAACTTACGTCGTCCATGGCCTTGTCCAAATTCTCGTTGTTAAACGACTTTAGAACGAAAAATCGGGTATCTGCATCACGGGAGATTAACATAGTGGTCAGCCAAGGGATTCGTGCGGTCGCCAGACCATAAGGAAAGTGATCTGCGGGGCTGGGTCCCTTTGCGAGGGTGTTTGAACTCTGGAAACCGATTCTTGCTGTGCATGTAATGGTGAAGAAACAACTGCAAGGAAAACTAACCGCCCTTTTTGCCCGTATCAAAGTGCTCAACATGCTCCAAATCCCTAGGTCGCCGGGGCGACTGGGCGCGAGGCGCTTTGTCTCCACCGTGATCGTCCAAGAAGCCGTTGACATCATCACGATAGCTCCGGTCGTCATGTTTATGAAGAAGGCGTCCGTCGTATTTGTTGTATTCGGAACGGTCGCGGGACCGAGGCCGAGGAGAAAACCGAGAGTGTTGATATTCGCGGTCACGCGAGGTGGGACGGCTTGGACGGTGGTCGCGACGAGGTGACGGTGCGCGATAACGACGCGGAGACCATGAGGGGGCACGCTTGATGGGATACTCGGGCCGACCACGTTCACGGTAACGGTCATCATACTGGTTGTCAATGTCCATCGGCCGGGGTCCGTTCTCCTCCGGCCGATGCTTCTTCTCCGGAGGAGCATCGGTCATGTCCACGGACGGCTCGCGTTCTCTTTTGGGCGCTACAACCTCGGGAACTTCGGATACTTTGTTAATGATTGCCGGGGCAGTTTCGACTACCGGCGTGGCAATGAGACCAAAGTCCAGCCCCTCTTCTTCCAGTAGCTTGCGCTGCTCGGCCTCTAGCCTGGCCCTCTGGGCAGCATGCTCAGCTTCGATTCGTTCTTTCTCGGCCGCCAGAGCTTTCAGCTTACGATATCGTTCAATCTTTTTGGTACGTGTTTCGGCGTCATGGTAATTAGTTAGCGCCAGCCATTCCCGCAGGTCCGGGTTGAGCTCCAAGGCTCGCTCCAGGGCCTTTTCGGGAGTCAATAAGGTGGCGGTAGGTTGATTCTTGGTCTGAGCATTCTGAGATTCGGGCCTGTTATTTGTACGTAGGGCCTTCCCGGTGCCCGTCTGGGGCTTACCAGGGCCTTTTTGAGGGAGTTGTTTCTTGTTAGAGGTACTATTAGGTCCGGATCGGGGGGTCTTGTCAGGTTTTTGAGCGACTTGGTGCTTCGATTGCTCCTGAGATCGTTCGTGAGCCATTCCTGCTTTAACTGGCTCTTCAGTGTCGCTCGGAATCTCACCCTCCTCGTCTGAAGTGGAGATCGCTGTGATTACAGCCTCTGCGGGTTTAGGAAGCCGCACAGAGGAGGGATTCGACACGGGTGCAGGAGTGGCCTGGACCGGCTGGGCCTCGACAGAGCTTTGATTCTGCTGTGCGGTCGAGGAAGCCGGTCTAGGGATAATATCTGCTGTGGGATCCACGTGATCGGAAAAGGAGCGAATCAGAGCAGCAATATCACTCTCATCGGCCGAGATGGACGTCTCGGTAGGAACCTGGGGGACAGTATGAGGAACGAACCGAGGTTTCGGTGCCTCAACTTGCGGGGGCCTTGGTGTTGACGCGACCGTAGTAGTGCTAAGGGGTCTGCTAGCAGCCGCAAGATGCTCGCTGGTGGCGGGCGGAAAAGAAGAGCGTTCTTGCATGATAGCTTGGAGTCGCTGCTTGAGCTCGCGAGTCTTGGCGTCGAGGGCCGCGATGGCCAGCTTGTTCATGTTTGGTGGAACAGGACTTGACATTGGTGATGAGTGATGGGCCAGTAGGAGCACTGGCGACGCGTCAGCAATTCCTCAACGTACGAATGACGTAGGAATACTGGGTATTTGTTGGTTGATATTGCTGTCTTGCTGCCTTGGTGCTTTTATTTGGACCAGTTTTGAGGCAAGTTAGGTAACCGATGAGATTTGACTTGATGCTCGCAACAAATGTGGTTTTTTTTTTTCTCTTTGCTTTTGGTTCGCGGTTTTTTGTGTCCGCAGGTCCTTTAAGGCGGCCAAGCTGACACGCTCGGCAAGGCGCGACAGGGAAACCGTGACGTCGATATTGTGCCCACCTCCAGGTCGTCGAAAGCCGAGATGCTTTGCTTATTCAGTAGTGTATTTCTCTCACTGGCCAGGACATGAGACCACTGCACTCATCTCCAACGAACACCACAGACGGGAACAGAGGACGAGCAACTGAAGAGTAATGTGCTGGCTCTCAGTGCAGCTATGAGCGCTGCTTGGGGTGCTTAATGGAAGCAGCCAAACACTGCACCGTTTCTCGATTCGACTGGACTTTGCCAATTGCCCGTGAAAATGTGTGAAAGTTGAACTTTTGATGTTTGGAGTGGAGCAGCCTATGCACTAACAATGGGGCCTTGGAGGTGTCATCGGGCCATTGAAGGTGCGCCCCACCCCCGCTATTTGTCACGGTGCCTGCCCGTCAGTCCCATCCACGTCTGTGCTGTCACACTGTCGCTCGAGGCCTTATCGCTCATCCTTATCGGACAGCGCTATGGTACCTACACCTACCTCCCAAGGACCTAGGTGCAGTCAGGGGCCACTAATAACAACAACAACACCACCACCAACAAACAGACTTTCTCAACTTTGACTTATCCGCCCTGATCAACGAATATACTCAAGTCCATTTCGTCTTGCTGATGGTCAGACTATTCCACCTCAACTCATCGTGTTCCTCTCTCTTCAGACGCATTGATGCCACTCTTCTCTCCGGTGACCGCTCTTTTTTCCCAAATCCCTCGTCTTCTTCAAAGTGGAAGTTTCCAACTTTCACCTTGTCCCGCCTCTAGTGTAAATATTCAACCGCCAAAGACGCGTGTTTTCAAGAGACTGACTGACCAGCTAACTCGAGAAAGAAATGGACGTGATATACCACCACCAGCCGTGATGCACATAACAGTTGGCATTATGATCTCCCGACCTAAGCATCTTCCCGCCATGGCATTGATGACAATGCGCAGTCTGCAAGTCTGGTAGCGAGCGTCTGAGGCTCTCTTTCTCTTGGCAACACTGGTCGAGAAAGACGTTGTGCAACTCGGGCTATCCAACACTCACTCCATCATCATCATCATCATATTCCTGTCGGTCAGTCTCTAATCCAAAGCTAAGGTTGTATCTACCCCTTTACACTACCTTTACGCTTGAAGCGCCCATGCCGACCGTGCCATTCGGGTGAAAATGACATTCATGCAAACACTCTCGCAAGAGGCGGCCGGCGCTACCATGGCCCATATGTAGTGTACGTTCAAGATTCTCAACCCTGGACTCTAGCGGCATATCCTGGCCTGACCCCTTTCATCATCCTTCGATTTGGCTTCTCTCTTTCTCACACAGCAAAAAAAGAAACAACCACCTTTCAAGGCACCATACTTCGGTTCATCCTGCCGCGACTCCGACAAACCTGGCATATCGAAGCCTCTTGACTGGCTCAGTCTCCAAGGGGCCGAGGAGGGGGCGGGGCCCGGGATCGGTAACATGGCCGCTGGCGGGCGCTAGCAAGCGTTGGCTGGAACGTTGGAGGCTCAAGATGCCCCTGCAGGACTCCACACGAACCCCTTCGCCTACCCTTGTTTACACCTCAAATCACCCCCTGATGTGCCCCTGAGTCTCCACACAGACCTCACTGCTGCTTGTGCTGATGCCTGTGATGGTGACGAGAGCTTCGAGAACACAGCGCTTGGCTTGCGGGTTAGCTTGGATAGCTTGCGAGGCCGAAACTTGGCTCGACGCTTGACCCCACGGGCAGGGCAGTTCTCGGGCATCGCGGCGCCACGGCAAGCTTCCCTGTTCACTTTGACAGAGGTGCTGTACTGGACGAACACCTCTCTTGACGCCGTGCCTTTGTCCCATTATGGCCTTCGTATCGCTCATTTGGTTCGAGGAGCCGCAATCATGGTCTCCATTGCTACGGAACTGACACTCCGTGACTTGTATCCGAGGTTGGAGGTCCGCCAGCATACCACATTACCGTCCACCGCCCGTCGATCTGTTTGGTTTCCATATCCATGGCCGGTCTACCCGCGGGGAGTGGCTACCCGCTTACATCGTCACATTGGAATCAACTTTGGGAATTTGTTCCGTTATCAGACCCCGCCTTGTCCAGACCACCTCATTTCGCTGAAACGAAGTGTTGGTTGACCGATGCTTCGTCCAACATACCCATCATGAAATGGAATAGCTCGATGCTTCGGCTAGGTGGGCTGGTCGGGGGCACCGACGGGCAAGGGTAAAGGCTTGGATTTTGAACAATTACTTTCGAATATATAAGGATATGGTCGTCGCCGTGTTGCAGAGTTTTGGAAAATCATCAGCTTCAACTTGAGCATTCGGCATCTACTCACCTTCTTTTTCCAACTTCTACCTTCTTTTACGACAGCTTCATCGACTGAAGCCTCTCATTCTTTTAACCGCAATCTTTGACATCACAACACTCCTTCAATCCGCCAGTCGGTCAATCAACACCAACAACTAACTACCAAATCAATCAAGATGCCTTCCTTCACTTCCAAGTCTCTTCTTGCCGTCCTCGCCGGCGCGGCCTCCGTTGCGGCCCACGGTCACGTTAGCAACATTGTCATCAACGGTGAATACTACCGCGGCTTTGACAGCAGCCTCAACTACATGGCCAACCCCCCTGCTGTCGTTGGCTGGAAGGCCAACAACCAGGACAACGGCTTCGTTGGCCCTGATGCTTTCTCCTCGGCCGACATCATCTGCCACAAGGATGCCACCAACGCCAAGGGCCATGCCGTCGTCAAGGCCGGTGACAAGATCTCCATCCAGTGGGAGACCTGGCCCGAGTCTCACAAGGGTCCCGTCATCGACTACCTCGCCAACTGCGGCACCTCCGGCTGCGAGACCGTCGACAAGACCTCTCTCGAGTTCTTCAAGATCGACGAGGTCGGCCTCGTCGACGGCCAGACGTGGGGTTCCGACCAGCTCATTGCCAACAACAACAGCTGGCTCGTCGAGATCCCTCCCACCATCGCCCCCGGCTTCTACGTTCTCCGCCACGAGATCATCGCCCTCCACTCCGCTGGCCAGGAGAACGGCGCCCAGAACTACCCCCAGTGCATCAACATCCAGGTCACCGGTTCCGGTACCGAGAAGCCCGCGGGTGTTAAGGGTACTGCCCTCTACAAGGCCGATGACGCCGGTATCCTCGTCAACATCTACCAGACCCTGAGCAGCTACTCCATTCCCGGCCCTGCCCTCATCGAGGGTGCCGTCAGCGTCGTTCAGTCCCACTCCGCTGTTACCGCTACCGCTACTGCCATTACCAGTCTTGGTGATGCTCCCGCTGCCACTGCCGCCCCTGCTGCCACCACTGCCCCCGCCGCTGCTCCCGCTGTCACCACCACTGCGGCCGCTGCTGCCACCACCAAGCCTGCCACCACTGCTGCTGCTGCCCAGCCTACCACGTCTGCTAAGAGCGGCTGCCAGAAGCGCCGTGCCGCTCGTCGCGCTGCTGCCCTCGCCCGCCGCCACGCCCGTGACGTCGCTTTCCTCGACTAAGCGATTGCATATAATGTCTTTTTAAAGGATGGAAATATGGAGACATGTTTAAATGGAAAGACAGCTATGAGGAGTTGAAAAGCTGCTATGGACGCCCCGGCGATGCATACGAGAAAGGGAGACTTTAAGGAAGTTATTTTCGATTCTACTATATTTGTTTGTTAGACTTAGTTTTAAACTTCCTCTGCCGCTTGGTAGAGGGGGTCAAAAATCGATGCTCTGTTGAAGCCTGAATTTGGTTCCTTTTTGCGAGAGTGATGTTGATGATATTCGAGGTGATTGCATTCTCTTGTTCCATTGCCGGTTGACCTACCTCATCTGGTTCCTTTCGGAAATTCGGAATAAAGTTGCATGATTTGAGAGGAATAATCGAAGGTGTCAAAGTGAAATTGAATTTGAAAAGACCCGAGATATCGTAATGATAGGTCTTTCTGTTGCAAATTCTTCGCCTGTTGTTTACCTGCTCAACAAATCCCACTGAGACTGGTTCAAATTTCAAGCCTCAAACCTCAAAACACTGTCTTCACGGCACACATAATCCAGCTCAAACTTTACATGCTTGGAAACTTATTCAAAGTACTAAATCACGGTCGAACCCGAAATCTTTTTGGCAATATATCTGTTCATTCCTATGTTGAAAAACCTGGTTTAAGTCGGTTGGTTCTTTTAGCGATAGAGGTAACTACCTCTAACATATAATCAAGTCAAGTAACCACAGACATCAATCACCATTACGAAAGAAAGAGGAATATTCCGTTCCATCACCCAACCGGTCGTATGGCGTTGTTATCATTATTTTCAGCATTTTTTAACATCATCCCAACGTCTTATATAATTCAGCCCTGTAAACATTCTTGGCTTGGTACTCGGAAACATGTGCAGGCAACTTTTAGTCCTTTACCTTGGTCAAGTAGGCTCTAACAACTGCCGACTGGTAAACATCCATCGTTGGTGATGTCTAAGGTGTTTTGTAGAAGTGGTCTTTTGTCGTGGGTGAAGCTCAAAAAGTCATAGAAGTGTCATTGCTCTCAACCCATTTGTAGAAGGCCAATCAACTCCCCTGCCTGTTTCCTCCCCCCCTGCTACCTAGGTAAGCATGCCTCACGCCAAGAAACATTTCACTCACCTAGCGGAGAGAACTCGAAACACGCGAATATCGGAAAGGAGCAAAGTCAATGGAGGGGAAAGAAATGGGAAATTACCATAAACGCCAAGACTGTTTCAAGAACAATCATCACGAACTTCTTTCCAGATTCGTTCCTCCTTCCGTTGCGACTCAATTCCCCCCCTCCCCCCTCCCCCCCTTCCCCCCTCCCATCCGCAGTTCGTTACATTCAATCAATCTAATGATCCAGTGTCCCAACTCCCGACTCCCGTCCGCTCGGCACCACAACTTTTACATGCTATGTACAGTAATAATTATCCGCAAATGGGATTCATCCCAGTCCCCGCTTCCAAGACAACAAACCAACATCGGGTAAAAAAGAGGCGACTGGGCGAGGTTTGTTTGTTGAGGCATCTCTTGCGAGTCACTTCTTCTTCAACAAGTCACCACCTTCCGCCGTAACGAGAGCGACACAAAAAAAGGGGCAGATCAATTTCCCAATCAATGGGTTGGATCGAAAAGCTACACTACATAGATCGATCCGCCGCCGAGAAGATGATGCACCCCGGGATTTTTGAAAAGTCTTGGGACCGAACGATGTCACTCCTCGCATTGCATGCGAGATGGGTTGAGGGAGGGTTGAGGATGTAAAAAGAGGTCCACCAATCCGGAACCACCGTGAAGTGTACATACGTACGCACGCTCGGTACGTTATGCTAAAAAAAAGGGTGAATGGATGGATGGATGGATGGATGGCTTCAAGTGAGTGTTTCCCTTTTAGGATCGAGGAGAAGCGGTCGTACCATGGAACGGGTCGGACGGATCGAGTAGAAGTTGAATGATCCACCGGGGAAGGGAACGAAGAAGATTCCCTCGTTCGCTTCTAGGCCGAACCATGTAAATAGACGGACAGACAGACCCAAGCCTCGACATATATATCAGCGTCATCACCCAGTCAACCACCCTCTCTTTTTTTCCCCTCCACTACCACCTTACCTTTGACTCCAACTCTGACCAACCCAACAGAGTGAGCTCATCGCCCACATCCCATCGCCAACCATGAAGTCCCTTCTCCTTCCGCTTCTCTCCCTTCTCTCCCTCTCCTCCTCCGCCCTCGCCGCCACGCGTATCTCTCCTCCTTCCTCCGCCTGTCTCCGCGTCGGCGCCGGCCAACCGTACTCCAACATCCAATCCGCCGTCAACGCCCTCTCCACCACGGCTTCCGGGTCTCAGTGCATCTTCATCTACCCGGGCACCTACTGGGAACAGGTCCTGATCCCGGCTCGGTCCGCCCAGCTTTCCATCTACGGATACACCACCAACACCCTCGGCTACGCTTCCAACACCGTCACCATCATCGCCAACAGGTCCCAGGCCGATGGCCTAAACAACGACCAGACGGCTACTGTGCGCGTCAAGAGCAGCAACACTCGCTTGTATAATCTCAACATTGAGAATGCCCACGGCCAGGGCAGCCAAGCCGTGGCGCTGAGCGTGGCCGCCGACGGCGTGGGCGTGTACGGATGCCAGTTGAAGGGATTCCAGGATACGCTGCTGGCGGAGGACGGAGCGCAGCTGTACGCGCGGACGTTGATTCAGGGAGCCACGGATTTCATCTTTGGACAGCGCGCACCGGCGTGGTTTGAGAAGTGCGATATCAAGGTCATGGCTGCTAATCTTGGGTATATCACTGGTATGTTTTTCCCATGCCCATTTCACTGTTCCACTTTCAATTTGGTTCAGTAACTGACTGACTGTTCTTCTTGGCATCATCATTCAGCCTCGGGTCGTGATTCTTCGAGCAACCCAGCCAACTACGTCTTCAACAGCTGCTCCATCGCCGCCGCTGCCGGTAACAATGTGCCCTCGGGAGCCTATTACCTCGGTCGTCCTTGGCGCCAATTCGCTCGCGTGACCTTCCAGAAAACCAGCATGACCAACGTGATCAACCCTGCCGGCTGGCAGATCTGGAACAACGGCGATGAGAGGACCAGCAACGTTGAGTTTGGCGAGTACGCTAACACCGGTGCGGGCGCGAGCGGGACCAGGGCGAGCTTTGGTAAGAAGTTGGATTCCCCCGTCAAGATTGAGTCGGTGCTGGGGAGTCGTTACACTCGTCAGGGTTACTATGATTCTAGCTATATGTGAGCTAGGAGGGATCTCGATGGGTAAGGAAGGGGAGGAAAGGAAGGCAGCGAGAGGGAGGTGGGTTGATGGAAGGATTTGAATTCGAATAGACATTTGTCAAACCGGACCGCAACGACGGATCAGGATTTTGAATAACATAAATAGAGGTGTTGTCCCCAGGTGATGCCAAAATGACTGAAAACAAAAAATGAGCGCGGACCTCAGATCACCTCGCAATAGATCTTGTTGTGACAACTTTTCACACCTAACGTAGGATTAATATTAGAACTCTGTTGCAACTCAACTGTGCCTCAGTGATGGTTTTAGACTTGAGTCTCCCTGGGCCTCCTCAAGCAGGAAAAGCAGGAAAAGCAGGAAAACATCACTAGACTGAAAAAAGCTGGTTATTTTTCCACACGAAGGCAATGCACTAAAAGCCAGAGCATTCTAACGGAATGATATAACGATTTGCACTGAGATGATGTGTATGAACAGTCCTAGAATCAGAGGGGAGAAAACAAAGCGAGTGACCTAAGCAAACCAAAAAAAGTCCCAACCCATAGATACCTTATTCAACGCCGGTTCGAAACAGAGGCCCTTGAACACCCCGAAGAAAACAACTCCTGCCGCTGATAAATGCGAAGTGACGCAAAGACGACCTAAAATGCCGTCTGAATATGAGGGGCCTTCAGGATTCGAAGAGCCTTCAGAATTCGTTGGAGGACTACCAACCTAGACGTCGTCCATCTTACCGGCGGCCTCCTCGTCGTCTTCCTCGTCGAAGCTAGCCACGGATGATAGTTCGCCGTCGTCTTCACTTTCTGCGTCCGCCTCGTCTGCCGCGTCCTTACTCGCGTACTTCTGGACATATTCTGCAAAAATCATTTCAGCTTCTCCACTTTCTATACTCCAAAACAATGCCATGTGTTGACATACCCTTCACCTTGTTCTCGTAGGTCTTGGGTTCTCTAAGCAACATGGCAGCGGCCTCACCGTTGAGAGGATCGGTAGGGTTCGGGTAACGTAGAAGCTGAGGCAGGAATACTTCAAAGATGTTGATCATATCGAACATTGGCGACCATGTTTGGTTAATGACGTCTAGACAAACCGATCCGGATCTGGTATGCGGCGTATTTGGTTAGCCCCAATTGGTCTTTTGCGGCGAGTGGCCCATCATTTGTTGCATGTTTCTCCCCGGCGAACCAGAGCCCGCCCGACGTATTGTCGTGATTATTTCCTCGGATGGTGCAATCAGTTTGGTATCAGTCCCCACTTACAGCTCATCAATGTTGGGATGGAAGATTCGGTTCACGAAGCCAATGCTAGGGGATTTGTATGGATACTGATCGGGTAGCTCGACGCGGACTTTCCAGATGCCGCCTTCAAAGGGTGCTGTAGGGAGGGCTTGGTGTTAGCGACTGTAAGATCCTCGAGTCACATCTGGCGGCTTGAGCACAGGTGAGACAGGGAATGGAAGATATTGGGTAGACAAACTTTCGGCAGGCCCTTTGAACCTCACATAGAATTCCTGCCTGTTGTGTTGTTAGGTAAGCCCAGCATCCCAGCTCGGATCATTTAGTTGTCGCATCTTACACTGCATTTTCCATGTCAGCGCTCCGAAACCGGAAGTTGATTGTTTCCTACAGGGAGTTGGAAAGGGTGCATCCATACTATTATCGTTCACCAAAGTAACCTCATAGTCGCTCATGAGCCTGTCGTATCAGTCGTGTTAACAGGGCGCTCGTGGGAAAGGGTTGTTGGAGCTTTGTAAGGACGGGATTCGTACATCTTCATGACCTGTTGCCAATGTACATATTAGCACGTGTGTCCTTGATTCGTAGCTGAACGTAAACACTATCGCAACTCACATCTGTCTCGATACGGCGGCGTGGGGAACTCATGTTGTCTCTATCAGAAACTCGCGCTCGGTTCTGCCGTTTTGATAAGAATGAAGTGGTATCTAGCTTCGAGTTGTCGCAGGGAATCTGAAGCGAAGTCGCAAATAGTCGCGTTATCGTATAATCCGATGTTGTGAACGGATGACAAGTGTCAAGACTGCAGAATGCGGAAGTAGGCAGTTGGATGCGTGGTCGGCGGGTGGTGGCGAGATGCAATGTCGCTCTCGTCTGGTCTACCGGCTGCGGCCGAAGTGGGTTGAAAGCGAAGCTTGGGCGTTGCTGACAGCCAAAGATGGCGGGGAGGTTATCGCGAATGGACTCGAATAGGTAGGCACTGAAGCTGATATGGCAAAGTGTCGATGGTTTGATTGATTATTCACAGGTCGGAAAGTCGAAGTTGGGAACAAAGTGGGATGAATGAGACAAGTCGCACTCCTTGTCACGTTCCCGCCCGCAGTAGCGACGATCGTCCACGACGTCAGGCTTACCGTACAGCGCTGACCTCCTCAGGTGGTAGCAGCCAGGGGTGCATTTGCCGGCCGCGAGCGAATGATAAGCAGCCAGGAGTGGGGAAGGTCATGCGCTGAAGGAAGCGATAGTGATTCATTGGCGGTCACTCCCAGGTCGGGACCGGCTGTTGTGCTTCAGATGTTGAGGACGGGGAATGACGGGACAGCAGGAGGAGTCAACTCCAATCAACCTCATCAAGGCAACTTCGTCGAATTTACCAACCGCAAGGTACATTTAGGGGGTGGTGTTACATGTTTGCTTTGTCTCCAAGCCAAATCCGGTCACCAACAACAGACACAATAGTCAACAGCAACATCTAATAAAGAACGGCGCATCAACAGCCTTTAACCAAGCGGTCGATGTGACGTCCATACACAGTATGGATCAATGATACTTGAACCCGTTCCGTGCCTCTCACCATACACATAACATAAGAGTTGACTCAGATCCAAATACGGGATATACGAACGATCTTGACAATGGTGTGTGTGTGTGTGGTGCCAATGAAGGAACAACTCACTCCATTAACTTGTGGGATACAGTCACCCACCATCGGACTTGCGGCCATAAGAGTGGCCGGCGATCCGGCGTCAAGATTCAACTGTGAATGGCGGAAAAAGTCTGGGGAACAGGAAGCACTAGACTAGACTTAACAGAAGGAAGTTTGGTTGGTGGTGTGGTTAGTGATGGCTGTTAACCAGCGACCAGGTACACGGGTCATGCGGTCTCCTTGAAGGGTGCTACATTTTGGGCATCATAAACTTTGCTGATTGCCTGCGACTCTGTGTACGGTCCTAATGAAGCTTCAGATAGTCCAGGCAGCAAGTTCAAGGTCCAAGATGGATATATTCATCTCTTAAGCCCACGATATAAGGTAGTCCAACACCGAGTCTTCGGCTCTGGACCAATTCCCCGCAGTTCACAATGTCATCTGAAGCCAAAGTCGGCGGGTTTACATAAAGTGGTTGCATAGATGCTACCTATCTGACACGGCACAGAAAGTCTTTCACTGCCCTCTACAATAGTCTATAGAGCCTCAAACCATCACGATAGGCAGGTCAACACCGTCAATGTTCTCGGTGTCCGTTCGGAGACGAACATCATCAAGATGCTTGCGTTTGTGTCAGACCCAAAATTGTTAGTGCAGCGCCAGTGAGTGTCAGTCGACAGTCACCGATGCCTCGGCCCCAGGAACACAGCCAATCAAGCACATCCAAGCGACCGGTAAAGTGGGTAGTGTGGGTCTTTCTCCGAACGCCCGAACAAGCCGGCGGGTCCCAGTCCCCCTTGACACTTGGCGGAAACGGCAAAGAACACCAAGAAATTTGTGAGATATACTCAATTCTACGCAGCAAAAACCATCATGGCTTCTGGAGTTGAAATAAAAAGGAGGAGCCGGGCGCAGTAAGGAAAAAAAATGGCGCAAATGTAGAAATCATTCTCTCTTCTTCTCAATCAATTACTTTCAGTGCAGCATTGCTATTTCCATCAACCACCAAAACCGTCAGGAAAAGTTGCATCGATTGTTCCAAGCATCGCAAAGTCTCTTCATTCATTCCGTTGTACCTTCACATTGCGTATATTCTGGACCGGTACTTTACATACGCCTCTCACCACTTATATCATAACACCACAGCCACCACACCTGAACCACCATAATGCACAAGCAAATAACATCTTCACTACTCCGGAGGTCTTCTCCCTTCCTTTCCAGGGGTACCAATTACAAACCATTAATCCTGCTGCGTGGTGCCATTGCATCTCAACCACACCTCAACACCACGGGATACTACCAACCCCAACTACACCACCACCAACATGTGCAAATCCAAACCCGCTATTCTTCTCACTCCCCCATGGGCCTCCCGCCCACCAGCCCCCGCAAAAAGGTCACGCTCAACACGCTGCAGTCCATGTACAAAAAGGGCGAGAAAATCACCATGATCACGGCGCACGATTTCCCTTCGGCACACGTGGCCGAGCACGCGGGCATGGACATGATCCTCGTGGGCGACAGCCTGGCCATGGTTGCTCTGGGGATGGAGGACACGAGCGAGGTGTTGGTGGAGGAGATGTTGCTGCATTGTCGGAGTGTGGCGAGGGCTACTAGCCGGGCTTTTACTGTGAGTTTTTTCTTTCTTCCAACATCTTATATCCTCTCATCCCATGGTCTCTATTTGAGAACCCTTTGTTTATACCTACTCCTATTCTTCCGTGATCCGTCTCACCGATTTCATCCCTTGTCCTATTTCACTGCCCCTATCCTACTCGTCCATCCCGTTACCAAAAGTGAGTAAACAAACAAACACTAACCATGCTCCCAGGTCGGCGACCTCCCCATGGGCTCCTACGAAATCTCGCCCCAACAAGCCCTCTCCACCGCCATCCGCTTCATCAAAGAAGGCCGCGTGTCCGCCGTCAAACTCGAAGGCGGCGCCGAGATGGCACCCACCATCCGCGCCATCACCACCGCCGGCATCCCCGTGCTCGCCCACATCGGGCTCACTCCCCAGCGCCAAAACGCTCTGGGTGGCTTCCGCGTCCAGGGCAAATCCAAAGAATCCGCCAAGCGATTACTCCGAGACGCCCTGGCCGTCCAGGAGGCCGGTGCTTTCGCCGTGGTGGTGGAGGCCGTGCCGCAGGAGGTGGCGGCCTTCATCACCGGTCTCCTGAAAATCCCGACGATTGGCATTGGTGCTGGAAACGGCACGAGTGGACAGGTGCTGGTGCAGGCGGATATGACGGGGAATTTCCCGCCTGGGAGGTTCTTGCCCAAGTTTGTCAAGAAGTATGGCGATGTGTGGGGGGAGGCGTTGAGGGCTATTGAGACGTATAGGGATGAAGTCAAGGGCGGGAGTTATCCGGCCGAGGAGCATACGTACCCGATGGCGAAGGAGGAGGTGGAGGCCTTTGTGGGGGATGTGAGGAGGCTGATGAATGCGAATGCGTCTGCTAAGGCTGAAGGCGAGGGTGAGAAGGATGCGCGAGTAATGCTGTAGTGCGTGCGTGGCGGTGGGAGGAGGATAATACCCCTTGCATGATGTTGGGATAACAAAAATGTGTTGCTGTTTTTGGATATAAGAGCGTTGCCTCACGTTGATAGTGTAGTAATTGATAGGTACCTCTGTCGTGATCCCTTTAATTTGATGTGAGGTGCCGTGGATATTGATGACCTTGACGGTGTGGCGTTCCGTGGTGTCAAAACCCTTCAGATAGTTGCTCAAGGATGCTAAAGTTTCCATAGCAATCCTAGGTTTGTTGGATGATTTTTCGACACGGCTCGTCACAATCTTGACACCGTCTAACATGCTGTTCATAAGATATGATCCGACCCTGCAAGTCTCCAGGGATTGATTCACCTCTCAGACTTGAGGTGATCACCCAAAAGACGGCGTCATCGAATACGAAACATTCAACTGGTTCGTAGAATCCTTAAAGCACTGCAACACACATCATTAGCACACATTTCACAGTTACTCGCACTTGACACTATCATCACCCCCGGAATTATTACCACCTTCACCAAAAACCGAAAAAACCAAAGTAAACTCACCCTCCACAAGTTCCCCACCACCTCATCCAACGCCGGCGCAAACACGCTATTCACATACAGAAACACGCTCTCCGTCTCCTGCACCTTCAGCGTCTTCCGCAGGTACGCCACCACCGTCTCGAACGAGTGCGTGCTCAGCACTTTGACTTGCTCTCTCCGGAGCGCGGGCGCCGACCCGACCGGCTTGAAACGTATCACCACCTTTTCTTGGTCAAAGGTCCCGGCTTCGGCGAGGGCGGCGGTGGCGTCCCGCGGGAGCGTCATCAAAACCGTGGAGGCGGTCATGGTCAGCGGCAGATTGGGCGAGTCGCGGCCTTCGAGGACAGGGGAGGCTGTTGATGAGTTTGGGTTGTCGTCGTGGAGGGATGGGGGGGAGGCGGTGCCATGTGGGGGTTGGGAGGATGCCATTTTGGGGTTGTCTGGATGTGAGGTGATGAACAGAAAGAGAGAGGTTGAATTGAAAGGTGAAGCGATGAACCGTATCACGGGTTTGTCCTGTTCGTGTTTGTTTGTTTGTTTGCTTGGTGATGATTAAGCGCTTGGACCAGTTTCTCGGTTGGACTTGATCGTGGTGTTCCTTTGGTAGCTTTGTTGAACAGCCTGAGATCCAACGGCTATATTCAGGTGACTCTGCTTGTAAGCCGGAGTGAGGCTGATGATGTTGACGACGATGTTGATGGTTGTTGTCAAGGATCAGCTGGGCAACGAGATGACACTTGATTGGCGATTGCAAGCGGAAGGAGAAAGTGGAGACATGGTTGCACCAAGTGTCAGGTACGGGCGTAATTGTTTGAGGGTTAGGGTTGCTGTATTCATTTCTTCGGGATTGTCCCGATTTTGACAACCGGACATCAAAGCTCAAAAGAAGGCACAGAGATCGCGCTTGGAGCTGATGATGTCGTTCGTACCCATTTCTCGGAGCCTCTAGTAAACAAAGAGCGCATGCAAGCAACTACGACGGAAACATTTCCGGGCATCATCGGCTATCAAGGGACCTGTGGTCAACAGAAGTGATAAGAGACAACTTGTGCAACATGCAAAGGCTGTTGCATAACGAGCCTGCACAAACGATATATCTCTTTCATCTCGATCGTGACCAATCGTCGATGACTTGCATATGGAAAACTCCGCTGGAAATTTAAAAGTATCAGAAGTTCCATGCCCGGTCTCTTTACATGTAACGCCGCTGCAAAGAATGTACCATGGCATCCTTTCATCGTGTTGATGGCTAGATGGGTTGTGGTTATGATCGGGATGTGAAAAGATACATGTACACCAATCTCGATGAGCGAGCGTTCCAGCGGATTGCGGGTTAGTTAGGATTTCCATGAACTGGCCTATACTGTATATACCTATCTAATGTGTACAAGTAGTAAGCTTATATACAGCGGTTTGTCGGTCGCACACGGGGGTGGACTGGCGGCGTCATCGAAACGGCGATCTCCTTTTGCGGGGCTTAAGCTGTGACGGAAGCCGTACCCCCCGCCTGATCATCCGCGGAGCATTCGTTCCTGTTGCTGTGCCGTGCTCAAAAAGATGTCAGTATCGCGCGCGTTCCCGGTGCTGTTGATGGTCGTGTGCTTGTTTTGATTTTCTTGACAAGGAAAGGTTCAATCCCGGCGTGTGTGTGCGTGTGTGTGCGTGTGTGTGTGTGTATGTCGCCGGCATGCCGTCGTTCCCGTCCGTCATCGAATCGGTCGATAAGCTCTCGGGTCCCGTTCGCCGTTCAACTTCCCTGTTCCATAAAGACCGAGGCAACGGCACGCGGCAAACAATGGTGTGTGGGCGAAGAATGATGGGCAGAGACTGAGAGTACTTCCAGTACCTAGGTAGGGTCGGGTACTTGCGGTGGACTTGGATGGGTGGTGAGCTGCTGGTGTCGCAAATGGCTGATGGTCGGAGGTCTAGAACACACCAAGAACAAATGGACAAGCCTTGCAACGCAACTAGGTACCTAGGCTGACAGCCACTGAGATGGGTACAGCCAGTCAGAGTGGGCGCTGCCACAAGCCACTGCCGGCTTGGCGGTGGGGCCTCACTCGTGCAAATCGAAAAGTGGCATGATTTTCAGGGCAAATGGGCTCAAAGTCATTGAAAGCTGCGTCAGAACCCCAGCAGCAAAACGCCAGGGTCCCCCCACCGATTGGCCTCGTTCACTGATGCCCCGTCTCTTCAGCGAATCGACCTTCACAAACCCTCTGATCCCCAACGATCCATTCCCTCAAGGGCCCGGCGTGCCTTGAGCCATGGGAAAAAGTCAGGCCATGTTCGACAATCGACGTCCAACTAGGCCAATCGGCTTGCCTGGCCTGCGTTCCAACCTGCAACCGATCCCGATGGTTCCTTTTTTTTTGTTGGTTTTTTTTGTTTTCTCCTTGATGCGAGACGGCGGGCGATGGGGGTTGGGGACGCTTCCTCGGCCTTTCTCTTTGAAGACGATGAGAGAGGAAGGAGGAGGGAAGGAGGAAGAATCGGGATCGAGAAAGATACTACAGGTACCTACCTTACCTACCTTTATGTATCCTTCCATCGCTTGCTTGTGTTTATCGCTTGTAATATCCTGCACATGGAAGGAACAGTCTGCACTCTACCTGCAGTGCTACAGGTAGGTAGAGGTATGTAATTCCCGTCTACATACTATGGCGGGCATGTCTTGCTACCTACATATCTTATTTCTTCCGACGTTAATATGCACCAGTGACTGCGACTATATGTCAGGGGAAAAGAAAAGTAAAGGAACAAACATTTGGTTATATCGTGTTGTACATGTGGAGTACCTCCCAATTATAGGGAAGCACTACCTCTAGTGTAGTGTTCACAGTACTTCTTCAGCTAGCATTTAGTGGCACGAGGAATGACTGCACTCTCGGCCGGTACCTTCTGTCTACCTACCTGACCGGGCCAAAGTACACCTGCCTCCAGCGAATATCCAAACAACAAGGAAACGGGACTGGTATTCTTTTCCATGTTCTGGTGAAGTTTCAACCTGGGACCATCGGGGGTAAACACGAAACCTCCCGTCATTCACCCCAGGCGCTCCAAATGTCTTTTCTCGTTCTCACTCTTGACCCCCGTCCTTTTTCTCTCTTGTCTCGTCGTCGAGTTGTGCGATAAGGTACTACCTTGCGGCCAGTCACCTTACACTACCCACGGCAGAGAAGGCGATTTGCTGGGCACATCCAATTGCACTGTCTTCAGCGGCTAGTGGAAGAAAGAAGGCTTTAGAGAACCAGCAGTGACCAGTAACGTAACCGGCCTTAGGTGGTTCTTATGGAGACCAGACTTTGTTATTACTGCAAGTTAAACAACTCAAAATAGTATTCCCGACCCTTTCCGTTTCGCGCCGTTGGCGACATACAACCGTGATATTTGGAACGTAGAGGTCTCCCATTGCTCAATCCCCCTCCATTCTTACATTGCATCCGACAAATCTCAGCAGGCAATCTGGAGCCGAGTCCCATCCTGTTCGCCGCCTGCTACCTTAGCTCCTGCACCACCTTACCTTACCTCTACGTTACCGTACCTAACACATATGACATAGTGTACATGACATAGCCGACATCCCTGACATACGTACCTGACTGTAATAGTCGAGAGGTACCTGACGTTAACCGACAGCTTCTTCAAGGGCCCCCCTGGAGTCATCCCACGATTTCCGCCCCTTCTTTGCGTCCACATCTCACATCTACTAGGTATTGTCGGTCCCTCCTTTCCGGGTCGTCGCGGTTGCTATCGTATCGATCTGGGCTATCTGGCTGGATCCTTGTTTGACTTGTCCACATTTTAATCAAGGCATTGCTTTCTTGTACCTTTTTTATCCGTTTTTTTTTTTCTTCCTTTTTTTTCTTCTTTTTGGGGAAAATTTGGAGACAGACACCAACGAAAGACACCACCAAACCGACCACCACCACCACCACTACCACCACCACTTACAACGAACGAACTCTCAGCTCCAACGCTCGAACCGCGCAATCGCAACGCAACCGCCACCCGTCTGGGAACCTCAAGCGCTCACAAAGCCCTGTTCCGCGCCGGCACCGCAGTGCTTACCCGCTCCGTTGTCCCACGATAATATCTTGCGCGACACCCTCTCCATCTTCAGGTTCCTATCCTAGACCTACCTACCTACCTACCTACCTACCTTGGGTTAGTCCTAGCTTCCTTGGAGACTTGCTGCTGTTGGTGAACCCTAGTTCTACCTCTTCTAGGCTGGCCAACAGATCCACGCAACTTTGTACGCCGTGCTCATAGTTTGCGACACCTCTGACCTCTTTGGCTTTGCCAATCCGCGGCCTTCTTCTCCCGCCTTCCTGACTCAAATCTGGTGATTTACACCACTGCCCGCGGCTTTTGGTTTCGCCCAATTACGCACTCTTCTGCCATCCAACAAGCACAGAGCTTTGCGCCAGTTCGCTACGCCAAACTCCTGATTGTCGCGCCATCCACCTTCAGTGTTTCTCGAGCCCCCATCTTTAACTGAAAAAGTTATTAGTCGACACAAAAAGACGATACTCATTGTGCGGGCTGGAGACAAGACAGTTTAAAAAAAAAAAACCCCCCAAAAAAACCCCGACAAAACAGAAAGGAGGCACAGGCTCGAGTGTTATCGTTCCGCTAGTCACGGTCTCTGGTGCCATTGCGTTTCCCATCCCTTCACCCATCGACGACTTGTAGTCGAATGAATTGAACGGTTTCCGCCACCCGGAGCTTTTGCTCATCCTTATATCCATGTCGTCAGGAACAGCATTCAGATCCAGATATTAGCTTATTCCGCGGACCATACAAGTGGCGGTGGAAAACTAGTCCTCCCCGCAAGTCTGGGCTTTGACCAAGAAGCCCCCCCCCCTTTGAGCTTGTCGTAGACATCTGCAGATGATCTACAACACAAAGCTGGAACTCAGAACCAACCCCTCGGCATCTCACACGTTTTTACTCTTCTCGGCCACGAGGCTTCCGGTTATTTCGTCGACGGTTTCAACTTGACCTCCGCGATCTTCATCATCGTCGCCTCGTTTCGTGTTAGTCCTGACAGCCTCACGGCATGCTCACGTAATAAGATGGATCCCAACACACTCAGACGTCTCGAGTACTTCTCAGTACCCAATCACCAGGTAGCACTTTCTATTGTGTCCTTGCTATCTGTCTTGTCTCGCTGCTGACGCTACCCAGACGGTCAACCCCGTTGACCAATCTTACAACTTGTCAGGGTCTACCTCTACGCAGTCGCCAACACTATGGGGCACCGCGCCATCACTGGAAGCCAACCATTCTGGCATGAACTCGACGGCAACGACGACCATGTCACTTGACTCTCTCTCACAAACTTCTCCAGCAACTGCTTTCACTGGCATGTCCTCTCATCCTTCAATGACCCGACGGCCGTCCATGTATGGCAGTCATACCGGAATGCCGTCTTCAAAATCGTCCAGAACCCGGGAAGGCCATGAGAGGAAACGAACAAGGCTGGACTCTGAGCTATCACCGTTCGACGAGCCGGACTATTGGTTGCAGTTCGACAACGACGACAACTTCGATGATCTTTCTGAAATCACAGAGCCCCCTCGGCAGGATCACAAAGGGAAAGGAAGAGCCCCGCAGCTATCCCAACAACAACAACAGCAACAGCAACAACGGTAGGTTTAAACCCTTAAACCGCTTGGACCAAAAAAGTTTAGTTCCTAATCGCTTTTTCAAGACGTCGGAGCACGGCACACTCCATGGCAACAACGGCCCCCCCTCACCGAAGAACTGCTGGTACGCTAAAATCCGAGGACTACATGGAAGACAGCGCCTTGGATAATGCTCTATCGGAGGATGAGCGGGCGATGTCCCTGAATCTGGCTGAGCAGCTTTCCAAAATAGATACAGCTCCGCCGCAAGAAGTACCCCCGCGTGAAGGTCTCTACTCGACACCCCTTAGCTGGGAGCGCCCACAACCCGGTCTCAGAATGGACTCCCTGATAGGACTCAACCAACAAGCCCTGAACGAGGCCGAACAGCGACGACTGATTGCAATTGCCATGAATCCTGGGCCCAGCATGGGAGGACTCGGCTCCAACATCAACCTCAACTTTGGGGATATGGCAACTGGGTTCAACTCGGGGTTCGGCTCGAGTTATGCAAGTTCATCGATGGGTGGTGGTCAGATGCCGAGGCCTGTATCACCACCGCGGGCGAGCACATCATCCCAGTCACGACCAGCACCAGCGAGACCCTCCCACAAACACGGCAGCATAAGCGAAAAGTCGAGCGAGAGGATGGGTAGTGGTGACAAGCACAGAAAGGTAGAGGAAAAGCACAAGATTGGGGATCGGACGGCGCATAACGACATTGAAAGGAAATATCGGACAAATCTCAAGGATAAAATTGCCGAGCTGCGGGAGGCGGTCCCTGCGCTTCACACAATATCGGAGGCTGGAGGGGTGGAAGATGACGGGTCGCAAAATTCGAGAGCGCCCAAAGTTAGCAAGGTAAGTTTGCCTCCTGACACGCACGGCCAAGGTTCGTGGAGGGGAGAGACTGACCACAAGCACAGGGAACAATCCTCACCAAGGCCACCGAATACATACACCAGCTCGAGCGGAGGAACAAGCAAATCACCATGGAGCACCGAGAGCTCTCGCGAAAACTGCAGGCGTTTGAACAACTGCTCAATCACACGGCCGCGACGGCGTACCAGATGCCAGCGTATAGCAGGACTCTGTTCGACCCCAGAGGATTCTGCTAGAACGTCGGCTTCAACAAGGTCGGCGATTTGTGCCACTTTGTATTTTTATGTCATTTGTTTAGCGTCTAAGCATTGATTGGCTTTGAGGCGTGATTTTATAACATATCTGTTTATCTATCTTGATGAACTTGTTTCGACAATCTATGTGTAACTTGTTCTATTTTATGAAGTATTGATTCGGTATCAATCCCACTTCTCAAAACGTTTGTTGGTCACCCGCTCCGAGCCTGACACAAGGTATCTGAAGGGGCGATGAAAGGGGCAAAAGATGCGAAAATAGCATGACGAGAAGGGAATAAAATTGAGCTGAGGGTTTTTCTTGGTCAGGTCATTTCCCGTGGAAGATGGAAGATATGTTGGAAGAAAAGGACGAGTCAATGGAAAGAAAAGGGTTCGATGATATAAAGATTATGGACGAGACTCGTGATTCGGGATCGTTTACCATGGCCCCTTGAGAACAGATTTCAAGAGGCGATTGCGATGCGTTCAACTTGGTTCGCGGGGTGCGCGAGCTTTAGATCACCGAACGGTGACGAAATATCCAAGAATTAAGCTGATAGCTAAGATCACTTCCCAAAGAACTTCTTAGTGATGAAGTTGAGGGCCAAGTTCCATGAGATGCTATTGGTGAGCCTAGATGCACATTGTGCCGTGTTAACGAGTCTGTCAAGTGTATGTTCAGTCTACGTGAGAAGGGAGGTTGTCGTAATGGGAATCTTCTTGCCTTAAACTTAGCGAGTTGTGAATGGTGACCACCAAACCGAGTGACGTAATGATTGTGCTCTTCCGCTTTCAATATGTGATTAGGAGGAGATGAACTTCCTTCTAGAAGAGTTCGAAGTGTACAGTGGGATAGGGTTGAGTGGCTTACTGTTCAATGACTGAAAACCATGACGGCTTTTGATCTGCATAGGTAGACTCTCATATCATACATAAGAAAGTCTACAATTGAAGACTGAAGGAGACAGATAATCCGCGTCTGAAAAAGGATCGATCACCCCTCAACCATAATCTTAGTTTCAGAGTGGGTATTCATATACAGTAGAATCTGATACACGGATATATACAATACCTCCTCCCATCTATACACAATACCTCCCCTCCCCTCCCCCATCAATAACCACAAACTCACTCACTCACTAACTCAAAGCCTCAATGTCCACCACCTCCTTAACCGCCTCCGTCGTCAAGATCAAGGGGCTCTCCACGTCCACCACCACACTATCCTCAATCCGAACCGCCAGTCCCCGGAAATGCTCGGGAAACCGGTCATCGTCTTGCGGCACATAGACCCCCGGCTCAATCGTCACCGCATGCCCCTGCCTCAGCGTCAAACTCCTCGAGTAACCAGGCGTATCATGCACATCCAACCCAACATAATGGCCCACATGGTGAGGGAACAACACATCCATCTTGCCTCCCCCTGATGAAAGATCGAAGCCAAGCAAGGTAAGTTGCTCGCGCAAACCGGCTTCAGTGGCGCGGTGGATCTGGTCCAGTGACAAGGTGGCGTTCTCGCGACAGAGGGAAACCATTTTGCGCTGCACGGTCAGGACGGCTTCGTACAGATCCCGCTGCGGGGCCGAGAACTTTCCGTTGACGGGCCAGGTGCGCGTAATGTCGGTGATGTAGGTGCCGTACTCGCCGCCTGCGTCGACGAGCACCATGTCGTCCTGGTTGAGGAGCCGGTTGTTGTGCACGTAATGGATCATGTTGCCCCGACTGCCGCCCGCGATGACGGGCACGTAGGCGGGGCCCGAGAGGCCGTGCGAGGTGAAGGCGTAGTTGAGGTAGGCTTCGAGGTCCTTTTCGGACGACCAAGAGCGGCGCATGGCGGAGGTGAGGGCGCGCCCGGAGACGCGGCCGGCGTGGCGCATGTTGGAGATCTCGGCGGGGGATTTGATGGCCCGCAAGGAGTGGACGAGCCCGGCTAGGGGAGCCGGGGGGAGGTGCAGGTGCGAGAGGAGGGTGGTGACTAGTTGGCCGGTGACGGGGGTGGAGGGCGTGATGTCCGTGTAGACCTTGCCGGCGCCGCGAAGGATGGGTGGCAGCAAGGTCTCAACCTTGGCGATGTCCCCTGTGAAATCGGCGTTGAAGACATCCTCGGCTGCTTGCAGCCCGGACCAGGGGCCGGACCATTGCTCGGCGCGCGGGTCTTTGGGCCGGCAGAAGAGGTGGAAGACGTAGTCGCCCGGTTTGGGACCGGTCTTTTGGATGATGGCTAGCGAGTCGGGCTCGGAGAAGCCGGTGAGATAGAGGAAGTTGGAGTCCTGTCGGAAGGGGAAGAAGACGGCGCCGGAGCGGTATTTGAGTTCCGAGGAGGCGAGAATGGCGATGCCGTTTTCGGGAAGCGCGAAGGCGAGCTTGGAACGTCGCTCGTGGTATTCTTGGGCCGTGATGCCGGGGGTTAGTTCACCCGGTTGCAGGATGTGGGGGTGCGTTTCGTAGACAGGCTGGCCGAATTCGAGGTCGGCGGCTGAGACTGTTGTCGTCGTCGTCGTCGTTGCGTAGGTCCGGGATGGGCGCCATGGTGTTGATGGTGGTGAGCTTGGGTGAGATGCGGGGATGATGGACCTGGCAGATTGGAGACGTGGTTGGAGAGGCCAGTTACTCTGAGAGCGCAAGTGTCGGGAACATTGCCGCAGGACGGCTTGGGGAAGCTTCATGTCAAATAAAGGGTGGTTGTCAAAGGGTGATGAGGGTAAGGAATGTGGTGGTTAGGTGAGAACGAGGTGTGAGTTCACCTCGGCTCGCCGGGTTAGTGTAGGTGAACTTGGTTTGGGATGGCTCGCAATATTGATGATACCTATTACTAGGACTACCAGCACCTAAACTCTAGTTACAAACTGATCATGGGGTTGTTGGAATCTCAACCTTTACCAACCTCCAAATTCCCCAAGCAACAATGTACGGCGAGAAATGAAGTTGAAATGCTTCACAGCAGACAAGATGCCTGTTCAAATGTTTTTGTGAAGGCAAAGACATGGGATATCGTCACTTTATCATTCTCACTTTTGATCAAATTCATGCTGACAGTTGCCAGGCGCTTCACTGGACTGCCAAGAGTTCAGGTCTCGCTGGGCCTCAAATGCTGTCTGCCAGCTGCAAGCCGCGGATGTGGAGCTGCTGTTGGCATTCCCCAGCACAGCAACAACAAACCACAGCTGCCAGGCGCCGGTGTATTTTCATTGTCAGCGCTTTTCAGTGTAGGGCAGTGCAACCACCCCGGGCCGGGCGCCTGCACTTCCCCCCCACATTGCCTAGAGGTATGGCCTGCTGGACCCTGCTGTCGCGACTGTCAATATCAAAACCAAACACTTTGATTACACGAAGGTTTTTTGACCACCCACCAACACCAGAACACCCATCTTGGCCTGTTCGCAGTGTCGATTGACTTCGGGCGCAATTCGACATTGGAAGGTTTGCGCAGATAATCCAATTGGCCTCAGCCGTTTCGTTTTGTTCAACAGCGGCCCCTTCTTCCTTCCTGTCATCGGAGCACAGCGCGTGCCACTGCGACGACGGAGCCAAAACCTCCAGCGACAAAAATCGACAGACGCGTTTTTGGTGGCAGCACAAAAGAACAGACAACTGTGCCCCAACCTCCACCACCAACCGCCTCACTTTAGTTGTTTTGCGCCCAGGCCAGGGTCGAGTGCTTCCTTGCTCCTTCCCAGCCAGCCAACGACAAACGATCGACGACGAATAAGTGTCCGACCGCATTGGGCCATTGTTCGACCATCGACACCATCGATCACCGAGCCTAACCACTTTGTCTTGTCTGTCGAGTCGCCGATTACCAACAGCACTCAGCACTCGCACCCAACACTCGACTTGATTCTTGGTGTACCATAGTTATCCGGGGTCCCCCTACCCAAAGTCCAAGCTAGTATCAGCACGCGACCAGACAGACAACCCGGAAGCTGTCTCCCTCCCTTACCATCCCCGAGCCGGCGTTTCGGAACAAACAGAAACAACACCACACCCATAGCATGTTGACTGGATATATTACAAGACAACAGTATCTCTAGATCGACATCCCACAGCAATGTCGACCACCACCACTGCCTCGGGCACTAAGAGGGCTCCTCTCTCCGACAACCCCAATGCCGCCAACTCGCCGCTGCGTGGGTCCTCGGCTACCGCCTTGGCACTACAGGGCTCTAAAAAGGCCGCCGTCCGCTCCCATGCCGATCAGCTTAGAGAGGAGCCATACGGTCAACCACCGCCGGCCAAGAGACAGATGATTGAACATGGCGGTCAACGCGCCGCCGCCTCGCCGACGAGCTCCCGGTCCAATGTGTCCAATATCACGCGCAAGGCCTCGACGATATCCCGGCCCATTGATCGGGAACGGCCTGAAAGGGCTTCTTCTAGATCAGGCACCACCGCGGCTACCAGCACCACCCGTGCCGAGAGGTTGTATGCCGCCTCCACCACCACCACCACCACTACCGCCTCCACCACGACGACCGACCGCATCACCGCAAAGGAACTTGAAGACCTCAGTATATGGCAAACCTCTATGAGATCTCGCTTTCACAAGATGGTCTTCTACTTTGAGAGCATTCCTGACGAGCAACGTCACAAGCTCGCTAAACAAGTCGCTCAATTGGGCGCTGTAAGTCAACGACCCCTTGCCCAATGCAGGCCCAACCGCTCGGCTTATACTTACACATCGGTCACAGCGCGAGGAAAAGTTCTTTTCCATCGAAATCACCCATGTCGTCACCACCCGTCCTATTCCCCCTGTAAAGCCAGTCCAGGACGAGAACCAGCCCGTTACCAACACGCAATCGACAAGTGAACAGCCAAAGACAATCGATCCCTCTCTCCTGAACCGCAATGGCGACTCGGTCCGACGCAAACTCATTTTCGACAAGCCCTCACTCCGGAAATCCTCTGTGCAGCCCCAGGAAGAGACGATGCCGAAGCCGAAAGCACGCAGCACTGACATCCTGCACCGTGCGCGGGACATGGGCAAGAAGATCTGGTCGCTTGACAAACTCCAGAGGATTCTCGGCATGGTCCTTGAAACGGACTTGTACAAGGCTGCATTGTTGGGCCGAGGCCACACACCAGCAGCCGCTGACAGGGCCAAGGCTCGCCAGCAGACTGCGAATGTACTCCAAATGCTCCAGAATGAGCGTGTCCACGGCCCCTCCGATCGTGATCCCACTGTTGTTACCAAGGACATCCACTACTTCAAGGGCCCCTACATCTACGTGTACGATATCGAGGAGAAGACGAGGCCGATCATGGTGAGGGAGTACCACAGAGTTGCCGACAAGAAGGACGGCGAATGGCCTCAGTTTCGTGTAGCATCTCAAGGCCGTTGCCCATTCGTTGAGGATTATGATCCCCCTGAAAGGACGAGGCGGGAAAAGACCCAGGCCAAGGAGAAAGTTGTCAAAGCTGCAGATGCCGCCGCCGCCGCTACCGAGAAGGCTACCAAGACCCTCCAGCCCCCCGAGGTACCATCACCCAAGCCGGTTACGGGAAAGCGTACTCTTAAGGAGATGGAAGCACCCAACGACCGTGCAACCGAAGTAGTTGATGATGCCCCCGAAACCGTCGAGTCAGCCAAGGAGTCCACTCCTTCAGTCGATTTCCGTTCGCAGAATGCCTTTATGAGCCATACCACCAAAGTTGGCCGTTTGGTAGCCGGAGAGCCCGTCGCTTCTGGCATCCAGGCCAACAAGCTCACATCCGCCATTCGCTCTCAGATGGTGTCGTCCACCACCGGTGTCCTTGGCGCCAAGGCCGGTATCAGCAAGGAAGTTTTGGGTCTTCAGCGCAAGGTTCTTCAGAAGGCTGGTGGTCCTTCCCTTTCGCAAGACTCTGGTGTTCGTCGCTTGGCCGAGATTGGTGTGGATGCCGCCCAGTGCACTCGTGCCGCCAGCTTGGGTAATCCAGCCAAACCCCCGATGCCTGGTATCTGGGAGGATGATGAAGCTCGGAAGCAGGAGCAGGCCAAGAAGGAGAGGAAATTGCGCAGGACCGCGAGCACGCCCGTTCCCCAGACAAAGCCGAAGCCACGCGATCCCAAGCCGGGTTACTGCGAAAACTGTCAAGATAAGTTCGAGGACTTTGATGCGGTGAGTTTCCTCAATATCAGGCATACTATGACGTTTACTAACATGACGGTAGCATATTGTATCCCGCAAGCATCGCCGCTTCGCCGAGAACGACGACAACTGGGCCCAGCTCGACGCTCTCCTTGGCAAGCTCTCGCGCGCTCCTCGCGAGCCGCGTTATCGGTCCGTGGGTGATGAGAGGTGGCAGTAAACTACTGCCATGTTGCCGCACATGAAACCTACCCATGGCTCCTGACGACTAGCTGTACTTGCTTTCCCTTCTTGTTTTCTTCATCTCCCCTTTTAACCTGTTTCTCTTTAGTCAGTCGGGAGTCACGTGGCGGTGTCATGTGTCGTTTATTGTTGGAGAGGTTTCCTTTTCTTTTTCCTTTTTTTCTTCAATTGTCCCAACGCACAAGTTCGTTACCAGCATAATTGGGCGCGGGAGTTCCGGTGGCTTGTCGTTGATGGGGCGTTATTCTGTTTCTTTGTTCATACTAACCGGTTTTTGTTCATTACTGAAGGAAGCTTGGCATGAAGGCTAAGTGCTCAAGCTGTTTGAAGGCGAAGATGGGACTGCTGGGGTTGGTTGGCTTTGTCGTCGTGCGTGGGGTGTTAAGGAAATGGAAAGTGGCATTATGTTATGGTCACTTGAGGACCAAGCAAGCGAGCATTATGTGGAACAACAATCCGGTGTGCGTATTCTCATTTTGTCGAGGGAATGGCAAAGGGGATACCCGGTTATGGTACGGAAGCCGATGTCTGGTTGGGTCATAGTCATTGTTGGTGTCATGGTTCCTGGCTAGGGCGGCGGTTTATGGTCTGCTCATGAAGAGGAAGAGGTGGACACCTTGTGATGGCATGCAAAATAGCATGACCGTAGCGCGTTCGAATAAGCTACTATATGTTACACTTTATGTATGTCTCTAAATGTATCATATGCTTATTGGTAGTGAAGAGATTATTACGTTTGATGGTGCCTGTTTCTTTGTCAGGTCGAGCTAAAGTCTCTTCAGAAAGCCTTTAGATCCAGTTCAAAGAGTATCACAGGCATTACCTTTCGTCTCATGCTGTCACCATGCATCCAGCTCCCGTCCCGTCCGCCGATCATATCGGATCCGGCCCGGGCCGTCTCCCACGTGGTAGTGGATCCCAGTTCAAGCACTCACTTTGTTTTCACCACCCTCATCTTCATAATTCTTCATCACATCTCCATCACCTCCCATACTCCCCTTCTTTTCCTCTCAAACTCCTCTTGCCAAATCCTTCCTACCCTCCCCCTTTCTATTCATACCTCCCATCATCCTTCGCAACCCCAATCACCGGCTCAAACATCCTAGGCAACCACTCCTCCGCTCCCCCCTGAAACACCAAGTCTTCCGGTCTTCTTCTTTTTCCTTTTCCCCACATCCACCCCTCTTCCTCTTCAACGTCGTCCACTTCCATATTAACAGTCACCACGCTCGTCCTCCCCTTCGTCCTCGCCTTCTCCGCGTACCCAGCCGCCGGGTAGACGACGCTGCTGGTCCCTATGACCAGCACAATATCAATGGGACCTCCTTGGTCGATCCACGCGTCTATCTCGGCCAGCATGGTGGGATCTAAGGACTCGCCGAACCAGACTACCCCTGGTCGCAGTAGATTTTTGCATTGTGGGCAGTGGGGGAGGTGGGATTTGGGGATGGGGGGGAGGGGGGTGCTGGGGTCTAGTAAGGGGATGATGGTTTTGGATGATTGGGAATGGGAAGGGTTTGGGGGGTCATTGGACGGGGGGTTGATGGATGCTGATGCTGATGCGGGTGCTAGAGCAGGGCAGAGAGGGTCGAGAGTGTTGTTTTTGTCAATGTAGGTGCATTGTGAAGGGTAGGAAGAGCATTGGAGGGTGAAGAGGGAGCCGTGGAGGGTTTGTAGTTGCTGCTGCTGCTGCTGGTGGCCGGCGCGTGAGGAAAGGTTGTCGACGTTTTGAGTTAGGCACAGGAAGTTGGGGTTTTTCTTGGCGAGGGCGGCGAGGGCGTGGTGGCCTGCGTTGGGTTGGGCTTGGAGGGCCATGTGGCGGCGCTGTTGAGGAGGTTTGTTTAGTTGATTTAGGAGGGATTGGTGATATGATTTGAGATGGGGAGGAAAGAAGAAGAAGACTTACATAGGCGTAAAATAACCATACTAGACCGGGATCCGAAGCAAATGCTTCTGGCGTAGCTAGGTCCGTGGCCTCGTAGTTCCTCCAGAGTCCGCCGGCACCGCGAAAGGTGGGGAGTCCCGAGGCGGCAGAGAGTCCGGCGCCGCAGATGGCGAGGATACGATCGGCTTTGGCCAGTTTCTGGTGAAAGGCGGCGAGGTTGTTGAGTCTTGAGGCCATGGTGATTGGGTAACGGAGTGGTTGATGCTCGATCAGATTGCTGATAGAAGACCCGAACGATGTCTATCCTGAGATATTCGTAGAGGGACCTCTCGATGACCTTTGGGCGATGGACAGGTCAACAAGCGCGGTGGCAAATGAAACGATGAAAGGGCCGCGCTGATTACGTTTGCTGACAGTAGTACAGTGTTGATTTAAGAGTTTTTGATTTCAGTTCTTCTATCTTTCGCCAGATCGCCAATGATGTGTGGTGTTCAGTTTCTCATGTTTCCCCGCACCAGATCATCACGCCCGCTCATCGCTGACCCCGCTCTGCCTTTGACGCCGTTGATTCAGACGTCAGCGTTATCTCGTATGGAAAAACAGACATATTCAACACTAACCTTGATAGTTGTTGTCAAACATGACTTCATCGACATTGTTGATCGGGCGAACTCCCGACAAGTGCGCCACAACGACGGGGTACCGGGGCGCGGGAGTGCGGGCTTGGCCGGATTAGTGGGGCCGAGGCCCGTCCCGGAGTCCCGGTGGGGGTGGAGTAACTCCGCTTGGCTCCGGTCGGGGATTGTGCTTGTCGTCCGATGATTACATGTCTATCGTTGGTGAGAATGAATCGCATAAATGGGCTTATAGCATCAGCAGTGTCTCGCGCCTCAGCTTCGAACTCCAACAACAGTCCAGATGCACGTCAACTTGGGTTGGGCACGGTCTGCCCGCCTCTGCGAAGTATAGTCGCTTTCATGCTTTAAACTCCGATTAGAGAAAAGAACTTCTTGTCAGAACGGCAGGATACGTGTACCACGATATTTACCTCTGATTTATGCTTAAGTGCTCAACTTGGTTCCCTCTGGTGGCCGGGACTGTTACTTGGTATTTGCAACGCCGACGGCCCGGAATCGCGTTAACCGGGGTCTGATTTTTGTGAGACGGCGAGGCCAAGTACTCTTATAACCACATATCGGGGGTACGGCTAGTCGGCTACTCAAATAACCCACTTTTTAGACCCAGCGGTGGTAAAGATGGATTGGCAGGGGATAGATCCGTTGAGCAGAATGTGCAAAGAATCGAGGCTCGGATCAGGAGCAATTTGTGCTTCCGTCCCTCTAGCATCGGAACATGGATGTAACACATCCATCACATCGCCAAAATACAGCGAAAAATCAACTGTCAGTTCTCGAACCTCAATCTCAATCCCGCTTCTGAATCTCAGCTTCGATCAATCAATCGATCAATGTTCAAATATCCCACGTACTGAATTAATAACTTCCTTCGGCTCCCTCTTTACCTTCCACAGCAATCAATACTTCTTGCCCAGGCCACAATAAAGCAAACAACGCCGCTTGCCCAGTCTTTTTTGAGTGATTGAGTGAACGTGTCTCAAATGACGACTACATATCACCTGCTGTGCAACCAACGGCGTTGCTTATTCTTCCACGTTTCTTTCCCCTGCATCCACTCCCTTCCCTTCTGTGTATCCTCCTCACGATCTCCTTGTTGAACCGGTAATTCCATCTCCTACACTACAGCAATTTTGCTTCCCAGGTTTTCCAAGCTGTCAGTTACTTCCCCGCGTCCCAATTCCTCAATCTTTTTTTTTTTCTTTGTGTTGGATGGTTCCAAACCCGACCTGGGCCTGTCAAATGCACGCACAACAAGTTTTCCAGTGCCGTCCGTCCGATTTCATTGCTAGTATACTCGGACGCGAAAAGCTCGGGGCGCTACAAAATATTCCACCAAGTGCAACCAAAGTTCCATACACACAGTACCGTAAGTACCGTACCGCGGGCGTGTGAAGCTGAGCTGAGGTGCTGCAAGGTCTGTCCTCGCTATGTAACCGTGTGTACTGTGGTATAATGTAAAAAAGTGAAACTACCCCTGCCAAGGCCTGGCCTCACTCACTGCACGGGCATGCAAGGAACGCCCGGCCTTGGTTTTGGAAATTCACGTCCGTCGTCGTGCACAAGCCACTCACTCACTCAGCCCCTTCCCCCCCCTCCCCCCACGGCAGGAGCAAACCTGACGCCGGCGACCACTAGCGCCGAGTTCCCGGTGCGTGCAGTGCATGCCTGCCATTCCATGGATTTGGATTTGGCTTGGCAGGGCGAGGACATGAGAAATTTCCCCTTCGCTGTCCCGTCCGTTCTTGGAACGTCGCCCGCCCGCCAACCGCCAACCGCCCGCCGAGGAGCTGAGGAGCCGAGGTGCATGCATGCATGCATTCTCTCTCAAATTCTCAATTCCAATTTCCGGATCGACTCCATCCATCCATCCTTGGCTTCTCGCTTGCTTTGCCTGCCTGCCTGCCTGCCTGCCTACCTACCTGCCTACCTGCCTACCTGCTGTCAAATGGATGGATGGATGGATGACTCGAATTTTCGTTTCGTTCGTCCGCCCTATGGGGATTGGGGGGGGCCGCCCGCCCCTGTCTGTCTTCCTGCGTGGGATCCGTCGTTGCTTTCATCATCATTTTTACCACAGTAGTGCTGGGAATGTCTCACATTGAGGAGTGGGAAAATCAGGGCGCAGCTACGTCACGATTGTAGAAAAGACTCAGTCCGTCACGAAAAAGTGAAGAAAACAGACGGATGGATAATTGAAAGATGTTGGAAACGGACGGAATGGACGGCAATCAAGGACTTGGTAAACATGAATGGTCCGAGATTTGGGGTTTGTCGGTGATGTACCTGACCCAAAGCGGAAAACACGGCCAGGTGAGAATGATGAAGGCGGTTTTTTTGAGCGATCAGTGTAGTGTACAAAGTGGATTGGGCCAAGGTCGCGTAGGGAACGAGCGGGGAGTAGCCAAGCAGGCAGGAATGGAGTCGCTAAACAGGCAAGACTGGAGTCGCCAATGAGCCAAGATGATTGGTAAGTTTGACAGGATTTTTTCAGGCTGGTTGTATAGTGATGTTGGTGTGGTGAAATGTGATTGGGGTGGTAAATTGGAGATTGCAAGTTCATCTCAAAAGATTCCAGAACAAAAGAACGAGCAAAATGAACCCGAGTCGTCAAGTGCAAATTCGGAAAAGGTGGTATTGTGTTCAAAAAAGTATATGGTATTCAACCAAAAAAGTTTAACTCCCCACATCAATATACATAAATCTTTATGTCCGAATCTAAACATATGTTCATCCCTACTGTTTATTGGTCTTTCCCTCCTTCTTTTTCCGCGAACCGAACCGAACCACCACGTCGATGTCGGCCGCCGGTACCTATCCACCAAGCTGGTACCATACTATCCCATGAACTCCTCGCATATTCGTTGGCGTAAAGCAAAAATATCGCTTCGAGGCGGTGGTATATAAAAAAGCCAAAACCAAAATTTGCCAACGTGATTAATGCGCTCTTTCTCATGACAAAACATGCCGGCCGAACCGATGCGCGCTCTTCCTTCTCTCCGTCTTCTTCTTCTTCCTGCTGCTGTAGAGGGTACCAAACACAACCAACCGATGGAATTAAACTTGATTGTACATTTCAAAGCGCTCTCTGGACAACAACTTCTCAGATACCGCCACAGGCGCGCAAGAGATGTCGTGTGTCCAGTTCAAAAGGATCGTAGGTGTAAAAAAGAGAAGAGATATAGATAGCTCGGTTGGAAGCGAGGATGGAAATTCAAATAACTGCATCTCCTTTTGTTCGTCCCTCATTGAAAGTTTTTTTCCTTTCGTCATTGGCTCAGGCAAGCAGTTTAAAGAAGCATGGCGCCGGCGAAGAGGGCAGCGCCGAAGGAGGCAATGCTCATGGCGAGCTTGCCAGCACCGCCGGTGACGACGTTGCCGCTCTTGGTGGCCTCAGTGGCGTCGCTGGTGGAGCTGCTGCTGTTGTTGTTGTTGAGGGTGCTGTCGATGGGGAGCGAGGAAGAGCCGGAGGTGGAGGAGGCGGAAGGGACGGCGCTCAGAGTGGTGGCAGTAGAAGAGCCAGACTTGGTGTCAATGTCCTCGGTAGTAGAGGTACCGGTGAGGACCTTGATGCTCTGCCAGGTGCCGCTCTTGTCGCCGTACTGGTACTCGGTGGCGTCCTTGGCGCCCGTGGTACCGTCACCACCCATGTAGTCCTGAATCTTGATGCTCTGGTAGTAGCCCATGAAGGGACCCTCGCTGAAGTCGGTGATACCGCCGGCCCACTCAATGGTACCCTGGGCGGCGTCCTTGCGACCGGCAACCCAGGTGCCGAGCTTGATCTGCATGGGAGTCTGGGGGAAGCCGGCACAGCCCTTGGCATCGGCGGCCTTGAGGGTGCGGACGACGGCGCCGTCGATGATCCAGTCGAGCTGGGTGGGGGTCCACTTGATGGTGTAGGTGTGGAACTCGTTCTGGGGGTTGGCGACGGTAGAAAAGCCACCGCGGTCGTAGGTCTCGGTGCAACCCTTGCTGAAGTAGTTGGTCTGAACCTGGGTGGTGTCGCTGCCGATCCACTCCCAATCAATCTCGTCGAGGTCGTCGGACTGAAGAACGAAGCTGGTGACGACACCCTTGCCGAAGGCGGCCCTCACGGTAACGTCGACCTGACCGAAGAAGATGTAGCGAGAGCTGGCAACGGTAGGAGCATCCGTCTCCTTCTTGATGGTGTAGACGGCGCCGAGCTTGTTGTCGTACTGGAGAGTAGTGCCGACCATGTTCTTGAAGAAGCTGTCGGCGCCCTTGGTGAAGTCGATGTTGATGATTTCCTTGCCGACGGCCTTGTCATTGGGGCAGGCTAGAAGCAGTCAAGTTAGCCACTGTTTTTTTTTTTCTTTTCTTCTCGATTTTTCATCTGGTGAAACATACTCTTCTTGGTGGGATCACAGTCAGTGTAGGTCTGAGCGGAAACGAGCGAGGCAAAAGCCAACGCGGTGAGAGTCTTGATTTGCATGATTACTGATTTGGAGGAGGTCAAAGGTTGTATAGGCGAATTGTGTTAGTGGGAGCAAAGGACTGTAGCTGAAGGCAAGACAAGCAAGATAGCGAGTGTGGTGTTCCGAACGAAGGACTGTAGATACTTCTAGCTGACCGGGAATGGCGAGGTAGAAGGGTCAAAAAGAGGATGTGCGAAGGAGTGTGTTTTGAAGACTTTACGAAACAAGGGAAACGAAGGAAGAAGAGGGAGAAATGGAGTCGGGTTGGGGGGTGGAGATGTTCCCAGTCACGGTCGGTATCTCCTCCATGTCCATCCATGGATCCTTCGGTGTTCCTCTCGCTTGATCCGTTAACGTGATGGAGCCAAGCTCGTGGACGTCAGCATTAGCGGATGCGCACTGGACAACCGGTTTTACCACCTATTTCCGCCAGCCTTGGCCAACACCATTTACCCCGGAAACTGGAGAGAGCGTATAAGAATAGAAGAAGCCCTGATTACCCATAGGTTTTACATCAAGAACCAAGTTCTTTGGTGGAATTTTGGCCAAGTTTTGGAGCATCAAAATCTGTGTGTAGAGGTAGTGTAGTGTACTGTAGTGAGTGACCTGTGCGTGGTGCGCATAATTCTTACCTACCGTGAGCGAGCCAACTGAACTGAACTGAACAAAGTGAGCATGCAGTCAGTGGGTATGGTAGCGCCTGCCTTGCGGCCCCCCCTTGCTCGCATCTCCTTTTCTGGGCAAAAAGTTAAATGAGCAACCCTTGCTTCTGGTGCTGCCGTTTGTCGTTCCTGTCGTAACAATTTTCTGTCCTGAAGCCAATGTCACCCTCCCGAAGCAGCCAAGGCAACGTCTCAGGCCGACCAAGCGTTTCCCAGGCGTTCCCAACCTAGAGGTAGGTAGCGGCAGCAGCGCCGCGCTCAGGGGAGAGAGCCAACATCACCAATCAGATGCCATGGCAAAGATCCTTGCTGGGGTCTGTTGGGCACGCTGCAGATTTGTGGCGCTGCGAGCTCATGTCAAAGTCATGGACCCCCTGGTCATTGGTCTCACATTCAGGGGGGCTTCACCTGCTTGGCGTTCTGGCTAATATTTTGTACGGGAAGCATCCAACACGCCAACACCAACGAAGGAGCGGAAACGGTCAAAAGGCAATACAATACGAGATTCTCATGCCTCTACACTAGTGTCGACAGTGGATATTGATGGTACTATCCACTCGCGGAATCTCGGATCCATCCATATCGTGAGATCCCAAGACTCCCAAGCAGGCAGCAACGACTAGGGAAGTCTTGGACTGCCATCTTGGCTTCTCAAAGTCTCCAAAGGGCAACACGGCGTGGTGTTGAGGAACGCTCAAGTTGGCGTTACCGACCAGCTGTCTTGGTGGCAGCGGTGGGCGTCGGCAATTGTCCTATAAATTGCCTCTCCCTGAATCAGGTCTGGATGAACACAGCAGAAGCCTCGAAACGCCCCCGGCTGTCGATGCTGGTTTCACAGGCCGAGTGAGGTAACCTAGATGAAGGCATCGTGGGCTATAGTGTATTTAGTGCGTACAAGATCGTCTTCAAATTGGCGCACCATCGAGCATCTGTTGAGAACGGTGAAACGGGAGCTAAGCAGATCTCCACGCCCACTACAGATAGTGTTTGTACACGTGTGGCATCTCATTCGAGAGGAAACAGATACCATCACTTGCGCCCTACGGAAGTCCTATCGGGTTGCATAAGGCGTCTTCCATGTCCCCGGTGTGTCAAGCACGGAGCACGTCCACCAACAGGAAAATCAGCAACTGAAGTTGGCGATGGTTGTCATCATGTGCGCGAAAGGCGTCAGCGAATGCTTCAGCTCTTGCTTTCTTTGCGCTCAGGCGGCTGAGTTGGATATGCATATCCATACATATGCCCCGTCGCAATCCAATGCATATCTATGCAGGTGTATGAGACTCACCACGATACTTGGCACCTGTCTGCCAGTGAATGGGTGCTAGGGGTCCTTTAGGGGTCTTTCAGGGGTAGTGCTTGGTCCAGTCACGAGCGCTACAAGGCGAGAGCCGTGGTTAGGTTGCTCTGGAAATCTCGAGAGGCCCAGACGCCCTAGGCGCCGATCACATCCCAAAGCTGAGAATGAAAGAACAACCCAACTTGGTTGCCAATCAATCGGCGGTTTGGAAGAATTCGAATGAGTGCCAAACTACCTCTAGCGAATGAATGGAATGAAATCGGATCTGGAAGGGGGGAAAAAAGAAAAGAAAGAGAAAGATGAAGCAGTGTTGTTACTTACTTGATGCGAAACCACAGGATTTATCGGTTTCGCTGTTGCGTCTCAAACATCAACCAAGAAGGGACGAGCGAATTCCGTCTTGGAACGAAGAGCTCTTGACAGAGGCAATGAGTAGTGTCGGTAAACTCGTTCGTTGATCAAGTGGTCCATGATAACGTCGGGTCGTCTGTAAATCCCCTTGCGGGGCGGGCGGCGGATTTCCATGCAATCCACGATTGGTAGCGTGGACAATGCATGAGACCCACCACCTATTTGAGTATCTCGTTTGGGGCTGTCTGTTGCTCACCGCCGCTAACTCACTAACCTTTCCCCTCTCATGCTGGGCCATGAACTGTTAGCGGGTCATTTCCGACAATGATCATCTTCGAACAGCATCATGGTGTTCTTCCAGGATTTGGCCGTCGTCCATCCTGCAAATCTTCCCCAGCAATCAATGCCAACACGGATAGACACCTCAAAACCAAATGCACCTTATTCTGACGTCTTTTTCGCATATGATCTTCTTCTTCCGTATTTTCGAAACCATGACTTTCCGAACATCGCACTCTCCTCTGTTTGCGACAACGCCTCATGGCGCTCGGACATGGCGCTGCCCGCCCTGCCACCTTGTTCGAGCTATCCATGATCTAAAACAGACTTTACCTAATTCATGACTTCGTGACGCCCCGACTACCCAGTTGTTGGGCACCCTAAACAAAGCAGTGATACTAGCAAGCAAGACACAGCAGTGCCTATTAACGAAAAGAATCATGGCTTGGAACATGTAACGTTTCCATTCCTGCCTACTGGAGTTGTGACATTTCACGACAGATGGAAAGAAGTAGGAAACCATGATGATTCCAAAAGTGAATCCTCCCACGATTTCCGTCGCAACCATCAAACCCACCAACCCACCCGCCCATGCTATTTTAAGCCCTCCGCATCGTTAACCTCACCCAAGTCAGCATCAACGGCACTAACCACCACATGGGCCCGCTTTGTATCCCCTCGGCAACAGCGAAAGCGGTCAAGATGCGATCGTGTGGGCACGGTTTTGGACATTCGCGTGGCTTTTTTTGGGGGGGGGGTCTCGTGATACGGACGGGGACGGCATCCCGGCACTACTTTGGCGATGGAGTCAGTCGGTAGACACGAAAATGGTGTTTTGCAGTCTAGACTGGGCAGCATAGCCACACCGACAGAGTCCATAATGCGCGCTTTCCAGATGGACCAGCAGAACTTTAGTTTTCGCCGTTGGCTCTCAAAAAGTCAAGAGCCATGCAAGGGAGATGTTGATCTTTTCCTATATTTTAACAAAAAAAAAACGAAGCTTCAGTTTCAAGAGGGCTCCCTGACTGGGCATGTTGCCGTCATATTCCTTCTTCCAAGGCGGAGGCGATTTGCGACAATAGCAAGTGCTACTTGTTATTCCCCATTACATCACGTAACACTTGCCGTTTCGTCAGCAACCGTGGGTGTGATATGAAGGAATACAACGAGTTGGCGACAGCGACTTGCTCATTCATCTTGCCGGCCTTGACACGATAGTTGACAGGGCCGGTATAACCTCAACGACGGTAACACCGACTCCAACCGACCCGGTGGCCCCGTCCTGGCCTGGTGGTCCCATTCAGCGGTCCCGAGGTGGATCTCGCGACCCTCCGACCACTGCACTGGGTCTTGGCACTTGCCCAAACGGTGAACTGCCATTTCTGTGATTCGTTCACTTCGCCGGGAAGCTACGGCCCCCCGGAGTTCGGAGGTTACTGCCGTACCTCAGTCCAGCAACGACTGCCGAGTGGCTTCCTACCCGGCTGCCGGTTAGCATCCAGACCTGCCTGAGGACGGGCTGTGACTGCTTGGAAGGAATTTGCACCTTCCGCTTGCTCACCGGGAGCGTGCTGACTGCAACTGCCCGGAAATGGACATCGCCATGAGGACTTTCCTCTTTCCTCTCACTCACTCGAATGCCCTCAACCAGGCTATGTAGTTGCTTTGCCGTCACTTCCCTTGACCCAGAAAGAATTCGCAGGCAGTTGAGGGCAGTCCTGGGCCATGGACACTGAGCGCTCTTTCATCCATCCAAAGATATTCCATCCTCTCTGGTCGTCATCTTCACTACCTCAATCAACCCTTCCGCCGTCTCTCTATGAAGCCAGTCTCATTAGCATGTCGACCACCCACTTCTTTGATGCAGGTACGCACTGGTTGACGCCTGGTTGAACGCGGATCAGCCCCGTTTGAATAGCATACTTAAACTCCTCCATCCCCCCAACAGATTCTGCCTTGTTCTTCTCTCTCCCATTAACAACACTTTTATGTACTTCTATCATCACCACCACCTATCTGATCAACTCATTGTCAGCATATTTCTGATACATGCCTATTGTTTTTCTATCTTTTCTTCTTGCTTTTTGCTTGATGGCTTGTGCCGTCTTTGCTGTTTTCACAACGGCGGCAGTTAGTCAACTTCTGCCTTGTACCATCCCTGTACTACACCCACAGCCCCAGATCAGTTTTGCCCCTCGCAAAATAACGGTAGAGTCGACTTCTGCCTGACCGCTTCATCCCTGAGTTGAACTGGTTTCGGGATCTTCCTGACGACGAGACTCGTTCGACGAGATGACGTCCTTGTCAAACTGACCCATGGTCGAAAAATGACCAAGGACGGCTCGTTTCACTCGAGGTAAATAGCATGCTACCCCTACCAATAATCCGTTTTCACCAAACCAAACTGACGTTTTCCTCTTCACAGAACCAACCGAGATATCCACAAGTCATTCGACCGAGCCCACCTTTGATGAAACAAATGGCAGTCAGAGAAAATGACAAGAGTCCGGCAAATTTCAGAGCACGACGGACCACTGCAGTTGGGAGAACTCCACTGAAGGCGTTGCAGCGCGGTCGGTAAGCTGGTTAGTGTAGGTCGCTTTCAATCTCGTCCACCCTCATCGGTTCCCATAGGCCATACTTTCTCGCCCACCCTGCAGCTCTGATATTCGA